GTGTGTGTGTGTGTGTGTGTGTGTGTGTGTGTGTGTGTGTGTGTGTAAGGTTCGGACACGACCAGGTGCCCCGAGGCTTTTTAGGTTAGTAATAAATCAAACTATTAAATAGCAGAAGAAGAGTTACAAAAATAACCCTCTTAAAAAAAAATCAACTTACAATCACAGCAGTAGTGTTAAACTGAAACATCATTTTCTCATCTTTGTTCACCAACAAATATATTTACAATCAAACAAACAACAACAAAAAAAGACTGTACACGAATCAAAACGAAAATATAAATTATCACATTCAGAACCACGGATAAAACGAAGGAGCTCGCGGAGAGTGAGAATGTTTCTAGTGTGACTGAGTTGATACGAGCTGAACTGAAAATCAAAAAAATGAAACATAAGGTGTTTCGATTGCAAATAAAATCAAGAATTTCATTCTGATTTTCATGCGCTTTTCAGCAGAGCGACAAGCAGCGAAATCATTGACAAAACAAAACAATTAGAACACAAAAAAGGAGATTTTAAAACAGTTTGACCAAAATCTTCACATATAATCAGGGGTTTAAAGAGAGAAAACAAGGAGTTGAAAACTATCCAAATGTCCAGGAATAAATAACCAGACAGATAAATAACTGTTGATGTCGTAGTTTGCAACGACCAACATTTAAATCAGAAAGCTGAGAGGAGAAAACCTGGAATGAGGTGTGCAGAAGTGGACGACTAAAGAATGTGCGCGGCCAATAATGCACGAACGTTGAAAACATGGTCGCTGGTCTCAAACACTCTGCGACAAAAAACTGTTTATTTCCTCTCAACTCTGAGTCTCTGACTCCCTCCACTGTGAGACGCCATCTTTGAGAACTTATTMTGACTTTAGTTTAATTTTCTGTGACTGTTTAACAGATTCTCAGGGTTTGCGATCAACTTTGAAGTTGATGAAAAGTGAAAAGATTCGACTAAAAACACGTCAACCGTAAACCTGAAGGCCACAGTTCGGGTCTGAGAAAAAGAAGCTCCAGATCTCGTCGGACCACAACCATGAAACCCCTTTCAAGCTTGTGTCCCATCCTCCGTCGGCGACATGAGGACAAAGATGAGACGACGGCCCGCTGTCAGGTCTGTCTTTGAAGAGGGGGGGCGGGGCTGCCGTGGACGGAGCGGCTCCGGAGCTTCTGCAGCTCTAACGGAGCACCTCGTCTTTGTTGTGTGGCGGTACGTCGGTGTGGAAGTGCGACTGTCTGCTGCTGAATCTTTCTACCGCACGTTCTTTTTAAGGCCTCGCATCAAAGCCGGTCCCAGGAGAATAATCCAGCAGAAACRTTAAGTTCAGGGGAAAATCTTAGCCCAGCTCAGCAAAACCACTAAGCTCAATTTTTCAGACGACTTTCAACAACGTCTTGATCTTCTGGTTCACAGAAAGTGGACGATTCTATAGTTACTAAGTACTGAACTGTTCTGCTTATATCGARGAGAAATGCTTCAAAACAAAAACAAACAAACAAAAACAAACAGACCCACACCGAAGACTGAAACTCGATCTTTGATTCAGAAGCTGAAGAAATGCAACAGAGCAKAAGGTAACAGCCGGAGTAAGGAGGAAAAGAAGAGCTAAAATGTTAAAATGAACCTCACACTGGCCACAAGGTTAGAATAGATCATCAGTACATTAGGCTATAAGTGGCTTCATGATTAGCAGCAGATGTGTAGCCGCCGCAGCTGCTAGCATCTGCTTTTAGAAATGTTTGACTAAAAGAAACGAACGGGAGGCGGAGACCTCGTCTCTGGAGTTAGATTTAAATATAGATTCTGTGGTTTTTTTTTAAAAGCCATTGTTCCTCCTGCCTGGTGGGTCTGGGGAAGTGGCAGACGACGGCGGGGTGTGTATGTGTGCGCATGTGTGTGTGTGTGGCGGGGGAGGAGCCCCCCTCTATGTGAAGCTCTGCAGCGGCTGGCTGACCCTCATGCACACCCAGTAGAAGGCCCGGGCCAAGGTGACGAGAACCAGGAGCAGCATGACGGCCCACGAGGCGTAGATCCCCTGGTAGGTCTGAGCCTTCACCCACGTTCCAGCCTGCAGAGAGCCCAGGAGGCAGTCAGGACATTCAACTGATCCAGTTAAACTGGAAACACACAAACATGCTGAGCTAACTCAAGTCAGGCTTATAAAAGCTTTCACAACACTGACATCATTTTCCTCTTCCACATGTTGTTCAGCACCGAACTCGTTCTGCAATTTTTCTGCTATTTCAACAATTAATAATCAAAACATTCAGCTCCTTCAGGTAATTCCAGCTATGACTTCTGCTATTTCAGCAATTTATTATTTTTGAAATATTTAGCTATTTTAGCCATGTTTTCCCCTCACTGAAAATAAAAGGAGCTGTTTTCAACATCCATAAAACTCCTTAAAATAATCATAAATCTTTACTGTACTTTTTACTTTTTGTTCTGTTTCTGCCTTTTTTAATACTTAGAGCTAATTTCAGCATTTTTCGGCTTCTATTTAGCTGATTTTAGATTTTTTAAGCTGTCATTTTGACCCTTTTCTGCTATTCTTTCCCTAATTTCCAATTTTAGCATTATTTTCCAAGTTTACTAAGCTTTTTATGCTTCTTTCAATTGTTTTCTGCTAATTTCAGCTGTTTTTAGCTACTGTTTGATATTTTCTTTTTAGCTAGATTTACCTTTTAAGTTGATTTTATCTTCTTGCTGCTCAATTCAGCCAAGATGAGCTCTTTCTGTTTCTCTGTGCTAATTTCTGCAACTTTTTAAAGCAATTTTTAGTTTTGTTTCWGCTTTTTTAAGGTATCCTTTTAAACTCTTTCAGCATCAAGCATTCACACTGCATTTTTGCAGGAAATKTAAATTKTMTAGTTAGATTTGTAGATAAATTSTGTATTTCTGAACGACWCCAGCCAAGCATCCACTAACCATTGTAGAGTTGAGTAATATAGAACCAGTCTTTGCAGTTTCAGAGTGCGCAATAAGACCACAGCAAAGACCACAACAAATCACAAACAGTTACATTCGAAGCACCACACACTCATGTTCTGCATGTTAATAATGAATATGGTCAATTTAAAGACCACACCTGGATTACACTTCGGTGATGACAGAAGATAAAGTTGTGAAATTGTGATTTCATTATTGCWGTRTTACAGAATAAAACTGCACATTGGRAGTATTTCTAATGCCGTGCAGCCTTACTGCACAACAAAGCATCATTTTACCATTTTTAGATAATGGCTGTCTAACTTCCTACAGCTCAAAATCAAATGGTTTATTTTGTATAACAATAAGAGTTCCTTCATATTTTCATTTTGCAACCTCATACTATTTTACACTCAAATTTTGTGTCATTTTGATGCCTAAACACCTGCAAATGTACAAGAACTCAATCCAGTGCTGCAGTTTTATTACAGCGGGTAAAATAAGTATTGAACACGTCAMCATTTTTCTCAGTAAATATATCACTAGAGGTGCTAATGACATGAAATTTTCACCAGATGTTGGTAACAACCCAAGTGATCCAWACATACAAAGAAATCAAACCATAAATGTCCAGAAATGAAGTTATTTGTAATAATGTGGAATGGCACAGGGAAAAAGTATTGAACACACTTACTGAAATGTATCTAATACTTTGTACAAAAGCCTTTGTTGTCAATGACAGCTTCAAGACGCCTCCTGTATGGAGAAACTAGTGGCATGCATTGCGCAGGTGTGATTTTGGCCCATTCTTCCACACAAACAGTCTTCAAATCTTGAAGGTTTCGTGGACCTCTTCTATGAACTCTGATCTTTAGTTCTTTCCATAGATTTTCTGTTGGATTCAGGTCAGGTGATTGGCTGGGCCATTCCAGCAGCTTTAGTTTCTTTCTCTGAAACCAACTGAGAGTTTCCTTGGCTTTGTGTTTGGCCTCATTGTCTTGCTGAAATGTCCAGCCATGTTTCGTCTTCATCATCCTGGTAGATGGAAGCAGATTTTTATCAAGAATGTCTCTGTACATTTTTCCACTCATCCTTCCTTCAATTATTTGAAGTTTGCCAGTACCATATGCTGAAAAACAKCCCCACACCATGATGTTCCCACCTCCAAACTTCACTGTTGGTATGGTGTTTTTGGGCTGATGTGCAGTGCCATTTGACCTCCAAACATGATGTGTATTCTGGCATCCAAACAGTTCAATGTTGGTCTCATCTGACCAGACTATATTCTCCCAGTATTACACAGGCTTGTTAAATGTTGTGCAGCAAACTTTAAAGGAGCTTCAACATGCTGTTTCTTCAGCAGTGGAGTCTTGCGTGGTGAGCGTGCATACAGGCCATGGTGGTTCAGTGCATTACTTAWTGTTTTCTTTGAAACAAWCGTACCTGCTAATTCCAGGTCTTTCTGAAGCTCTCCACAAGTGGTCCTTGGCTCTTGGACAACTCTTCTGATAATTCTTTTCACTCCTCTGTCAGAAATCTTGTGAGGAGCACCTGGTCGTGGTCGGTTTATGGTGAAATAATGTTCTTTCCACTTCTGAATTATGGCCCCAACAGTGCTCACTGGAACCTTCAGAAGTTTAGACATTCTTCTGTAACCGATGCCATCATTATGCTTTGCAACAATAAGGTTGTGAAGGTCTTGAGAGAGCTCTTTACTTTTACCCATCATCAGATGGTTCTTGTGTGATACCTGGCCATCATTTGGGACTGAACCAGCTGATATTAACTTGCACTGACAAGGGGCAGGCTTGCTTTCTAATTACTAAGAGAGTTCAGCTGGTGTCTTGTCTTTCCATGCCTTTTTACACCTCCCTTTCTTCATGTGTTCAATACTTTTTCCCTGTGTCATTCCACATTATTACAAATAACTTCATTTCTGGACATTTATGGTTTGATTTCTTTGTATGTATGGATCACTTGGGTTGTTACCGACATCTGGTGAAAATTTCATGTCATTAGCACCTCTAGTAATATATTTACTGAGAAAAATGGTGACGTGTTCAATACTTATTTTACCCGCTGTATCTGTATACTTATTAGTGATATAATGATAYATGTATTCAAACTGCCACTGCAAAGACTTCTCAGATAAATACTGGGATGATTAAGTTGGCCACATTCAGTCACTCTGTCTGTCATAAAGATGATATTCCTGTCATTCAGTTCTGCTTCTTTAGTTAAATATCACAGTTTCAGAAGCATCATGAGCAAAGACTTTCACCACAGCAGGAGATTTGTGCCGTGTTCGCTTTCAGAAAACAGGACGAGGAGCACAAAAGGAAAGCAGCATCTGAAGGTCATGTCTTTAAGAAAGACTTTTATATAAAACGAATCAGGAGCTTACAGATCCACTGTTTAAACTCTCATAGGTGAGTTTAACAAATAAAAACTTCTCTAAAACTTGGCATCTTCAAATATGAAACAGAAACATCTAAGATAAAAAGAAAATCCTTTGCTTACAATAACTTCTAACAGTTCCAAGAAAGTTTAGAAGCAAAAKAAAGAAATGAAGGACGACCTAAGACTATTGCACAGAACTGTGACTGAACTTTACAGTTCCAACAGTTCATGAAAGAGTCCAGTACAGAAGAAGTTACATCAAATGATTTGCATGCAGCTGCTTAGTGACAAAATTGTTTAATTAAGACGACAAATTGTCCTTTAAGAGAATCCACGGTGAATTTCTACAACTGAAATTCTCAGGTCAAATGAACAACACTGGAGAAAAACTAATATTTAAACTCATCTAAAAAACATCAGGACTATTAAAAACTTCCTGTAATAAATAATATTTGGTTCTGTTCTTATCAAMATTTGATGAGGAAAATGATTATTACATGTGCAGATCCACAGTTAACAGTTCTCTCTAGGAGAAAATATGTGTGTATTTATATAAATCAGCTCTCTTTGTGCTGTTGGGTTCTTTAATAATTAATCTGGAATAATGTAATGACTTGATTTAAGTGTCACCTCTCATCTCATGTAGCAGTTTATTCTTGATTAAAAACACAACTTAAAGCTTTTAAAGCCTCTGATCGTCCTTTTAGAAATTTGGCCCGTTTAAAGGTCTGTCATTAACCTGCTCTTATATTCCTTTAATAATTGATTCAACCTTTTTGTTAAACTAAAAAAAWTTAAAAAGAAGACATTTATTGGCTGTTCACTAACATCATGTGATGCTTTCAGCAGCAGCCTGTCTGCACTCTGCAGAGGCTCCTGCAGCTGAAGGCAGCTGAAACATTTTGTGCTCATGGTGCGCCCTCTGCTGTTCACGGAGGAGAACACATTTCCAGACCAGTGAGGCCCAGTCCAGGTCCTCGAGACCCACTATCGTGCATGTTTTATCTGTTTCTCAGCTTTCACACCTGCTTTGAATGAATAACTGAAGAACTTGAAGACCTGACTTGGCACATTATTTTGTATCCGTCTCAGCTAGCTTTGTAGCCACCTCAGCGGCTACACCCAGGTTTAACTGAACTTACTAGGTACATTTTGAAATAAAGAAAGCGGATCACGGTGGGTCTTAATCAGGAGTCTAGAACAGTGGTTTTCAAACTTTTTGTCTTCTGACCCACAAAATATYCATGGCAAAAACTTGTGACCCCAAATATTACTGGTCTGAGTACACAAACTTTGTTAATAACCCTAAAAACACAGGTTTTTGACAATCTAAACAGCTTGTACACAAATATAAATACTTATTTATACTTATTTTGTGTTTTTGTTATAATTATAGAGAAAATATTACATCAGCAATTATTTTATTACCCTTTAAATTGATTTCTGGAGATTATCCAAGGTGCTTCATGACCCATAATTGGGTCCCAAGACCAACTTTGGGAACCAAAGTGCACTGGTTCCCAAACTTTTCAGCTTTTGACCCACAAAATAACAGTAGCAGAGACCTGTGCCCACAACTATTTTTAGATGATAAACATTTGTATCAGGTCAACTAAACATGGGCATAGTAACAATATTTTTTTATACTACATTTATCCATTTTAAATACACTAACCTCACTCCTTTGTAACAACTAAGGCAAAAAATGTAATTAATTCAGAAAATTTCTTCAGGACCCCACCTTGATGTTTCTGGACCCCACTTTGGGTCCCGACCTGGTCTAGAAGACTCTATAATCTGAGCTGTGTGCACATTGGAGAAGACAAACGACAGCACTGCAGCTTACAGAAAATAAACTGAGAAAGGTCTGAGACGCTCGTCACAAATCTACCTGACAAGWCCTCGAGCCTCATGAGAGACTCGCCAACTAGTCACTAGTTAAAGTTAGGATCATCATCATCAATAGTCGTCATAAATAAGGACGATTTTAGAAATTTAGTTGATCCATAATCTCAAAGAATCTATCTTTTATCAATGTTTCTCCTCATCTACACGTCAGCTTGTTGCCCCCTGTGTCCACTCACCATCAGCCCAGCCGTGGAAACGCTGAATAGCAAGCAGAGTAGAAAACACCACAWGCTTCGCCTCCGGGGATACCTCTGACCGATGGAGGAGCTGCAGAGGAGACGAGAGGAGGAAACTCTTTAATCAGACATTTAAACACAACAATAGCAGCAGATGTTTAAACACCAGGCGTCTGTGCGAGCGGAAACAGCCCAGCTGTTGTCATTAACAAAGGCGTTGTTAGAGCCGCCGTCATCACGAAGCTGGAGGAAAAAGGGAAATCTGATCGTGTGCACCTGCGCTTTGGCGTCCATTTTATGTCCAATTATAAACTAGAAACAGGCATGAAACCAAAACATTATAAATATTGGACATTTACTAAAAACAATGTTAAACCTTAGAATTTGTGCTTTTTTTCATGTCTTTGGTTGGTGCCGAATGTCGAAAAGGCAAAAAACAATGATCCTTTACTTAAAACTACTTACACTTTCCTGCAGTGTGGGCACCGGGCCAGYGTCCGGTCCGTGAACTCTGTCCACTGAAATCACAAACGGAAACATGTGAGCCAGAAAATAAAGCTGCTCGCCTGCCAACTTATCAGCTCCGGTGCTAAAAACACTTCGGGTGCAGCGACTACGTTCCCTGTAATAAAATTAACTCGTATTCTAAAGCAAAAACACAGTTTTCGCTTCAACTTACACATTTAATGAAAGTTATGCAACAAAATACATGTATTTATGATCAAATTTGTCCTTGACACATTAAAACAGACACATGGAGTTTAAACAAACCCAATTAATAAAAAGAGGATATTAGTTATAAGTCCTTCACTGTGTTTATATGGAAACTGGATGCAAGTTTAATTAGTTTTTTCCCCTCATGTGTTTGTGGTGGTCAGAGGGTTTCCCAGCGGAGGAGGTTGATGGAAGTGTGGAGGGGATTTGAAGGACACATAATGCAACTGAACAAAGCAGTGAAACAGATCGACRGAGCTCTAAAAGCAGCTCAGAGGATATCGTCGCTGCATCTTTGACAACAAATTAACTGGCAGCACCACCCGGGGAGGGGGGCACAGATCTGCATTTTCATTCAGCCGTTCTATCTGTGAGCAGGCTGGAAGGGTCCGGCTGGGTGTTAAAGCCCCTGCAGCATCAATCAAACTTTATTTTATTTTTTTARATTTTAACACCTCCATTCTTCTCCACACTCTTGCTTTCATTGTATTTCCCAASCATCTTTACCCCCGTCTCGACGACTGTTCAAAGAGCAGCGAGGAAAAAAAATGTTTCTGTCCCTTTAGCACAAAAAGGCTGTAATACATCAGCCGAGTGTTGATGGAGTTATTGATCTGCAGCAATAACTCAACATTTTCTCGGCCTAAAGACTGGATGTTTTGGGCTTTAATAATTCACTGCTTCAGTATATTTACAAACAAAAAATCTGGCCGAGCTGCTGAAGCTGTCACAGGAAAATAAAAAGAATCACTTTAGAATAAAAAGCATAAAAAAACGTCATTTATTCAGGTATAGCATAAAACTTCTCTTCAACCTTTGAAAGCACATTAAAAACGTGAACTGATGTCAGTTTTTGTGCATTTGCTTTAGTTTTATGTCATTATAAAAGAGGTCCAACAGAAGCTCYTTACTACAGACCACTCGTCTCTAAAATCCAGTGGTGTGCACWGTTCTGCTAAAACGCTAATCCGCTAATAACAGAACTAGCTTCTCGTTTAGCAGTTTYGCTTTTTTGCTTACTTTAACTCACAAG